TCCTTCCCCGGTTGACGATCCCATCTGCCATTCACTTTCCTCTGCAGGATGGGCAGAATCTGCCTTCTAGACTGTGGGATTCACTGTTCTTCTCATCCTCTCCATCCACCAGGGCTTGACTTCAGGTGCAGCAGAATTGCCCAGCCCCCCAAGGATTTGAGACCCATCAGCTATCCTCACCTGGTTTTGCCAGCCGGTTGAAGCCATTCCTGGGATTGTGGCCCCTGATTCATCCTGACAGCTTCTGGAAGGCACAGGTGAGAGCTGAGTGCAGGGTGGGGACCACCAAAGGTACTACTGCTCCCATGACACCTCATGACATCATATACCGTATTTTTCGCTCTATAGGACGCACCGGACAATAGGACGCACCTTGTTTTAGAGGGGGGGGGGAAACAAGGGAAAAAAATTCTCCCCCTCTCTGCCCAGCACCCCTTCAGCGAAGCGGCAGGAGGCGCTGAGCAGAGAGGGGGAGAATTTTCCCCCTCTTGTTTTCCCCCTCTAAAACAAGGTGCTGTTTAAGGTGCGTTCAGTCGCCTTCAGGCGGCTACCTTGGAAGCCTGGAGAGCGAGAGGGGTCGAAGATAAAACAAATGAAACAAAAAACTTTCGAATCAGCAGACAAATGTGGCAAACTTCTGGCTTGGCAATTGAAGAAAAGACAGAAACTAAATACAGTTACAAGCCTAGAAGTGGATGGAAAGAACATATCCAAACCTAATGAGATTAGAAACTGCTTCCTGAGCTATTTTAAAAAAACTTTATTCTCAAGGACCACAAAATGAAGAGGACATAGACAAATTTCTTAATAAATATGGATTACAAAAAATCTCTCATCAAAGTAAGGTGGATTTAAACCAGAGAATAACAGAACAAGAGATAGAGGGTGCCATTCAAGACATGCAATTGGGCAAATCTCCAGGGCCAGATGAACTGACTTCCAGATATTATAAATCTCTGAAGGAATGGTTGGTTCAACCGTTAAAGGAAGTCTGTAATGAGATCTTAGAGGGAAAAAGGGCACCAGAATCGTGGAAAGAAGCGTATATTTCACTCATACCAAAGACAGAGACTGAAAAGACTCAAGAACTACCGCCCAATATCATTACTTAATGTGGATTATAAAATTTTTGCAGACATTCTGGCAAAAAGATTTAAAAGAGTGTTGATGGAGAAGATTCATAAGGACCAAGCAGGCTTTCTCCCAAAAAGGCATTTATCAGACAATGTAAGAAATATAATAGACATTTTGGAATTGCTAGAGGTGAATATAAACACCAAAGCAGTGTTGATTTTTGTGGACGCGGAGAAAGCCTTTGATAATATTTCTTGGAGTTTTATGAAAAAGAACCTTCATGGGATGGGGGTAGGCCAAGGATTTGAGAACGGTATGGGTGCGATATATTCTGAACAAAAAGCTAAGCTGATTGTAAATAATGTGATAACTGAGGAACTTAAGATAGGAAAAGGAACACGACAGGGGTGCCCAATTTCCCCATTGCTCTTTATTTCGGTTCTGGAGGTGTTGCTAAATATGATTAGAAATGACCAGCAGGTTGAAGGTGTACAGGTCGGAGATAAACACTACAAGTTAAGAGCTTTTGCAGATGACTTAGTATTGACTTTACAAGAGCCAAACACTAGTGCGAAAAGGGTGCTGGAGATAATTCAGCAATTTGGCCAGGTAGCCGGATTTAAACTGAATAAACAAAAAACTAAAGTCATAGAAAAAAATTTAACAGCTAGGGAGAAGGACAAATTTCAAGAAGAGACAGGTTTGACAGTGGTCAAGAAGGTGAAATACCTAGGGGTTCACTTGACATCTAAAAATTTGAACTTGTATAAGGACAACTATGAAAAATGTTGGTCAGAAATTAAAAAAGATCTAGAAATATGGTCAAATTTGAAACTATCAATGTTAGGCCGAATTGCAGTTATTAAGATGAATGTATTGCCTAGAATGCTATTTTTGTTTCAAACTTTGCAAATCCTTGACAAGATGGATTGTTTCAAGAGGTGGCAGAAAGGCATCTCGAAATTTGTCTGGCAGGGGAAAAAGCCCAGAATTAAATTTAAAATTCTGACAGATGCTAAAGAAAGAGGGGGATTTGCCCTGCCGGACTTAAAACTGTATTACGAAGCAGCAGCGCTTTGCTGGCTGAAAGACTGGATGCTCCTTGAGAATACAGACATTTTGGACTTGGAAGGTTTTAATAATACATTTGGTTGGCATGCATATCTATGGTATGACAAAATCAAGGTGCATAGGGCCTTTAAGAATCATATTGTCAGAAAAGCATTGTTTAATGTTTGGATAAGATATAAAGATTTGTTGGAAAACAAAACCCCTAGATGGTTGTCACCCTTGGAGGCTAAGGCATTCAAGAAGCCCAATATGGAGGCCGAATGGCCAAAGTATTGGGAAATTTTGGAACAAGATGGAGACAAATTGAAATTACAGAGTCATGAGAAATTAAAACCTAAAGTACGTGATTGGCTCCATTATTATCAAATAATGGAGGTTTATAAACAAGATAGGAAAATTGGCTTCCAGGTGGAGAAATCAAAATTAGAAACTGAATTGTTAGAACCCAATACTAAGAACTTGTCAAGAATGTACAATTTGCTGCTGAAATGGAATACGCAAGATGAAACAGTTAAATCGGCTATGATTAAGTGGGCACAGGACATTGGTCATAACATTATGTTTGCTGACTGGGAATGGTTGTGGAACACTGGTATAAAATTTACGGCATGTAATGCCTTAAAGGAAAATATCATGAAAATGATCTACAGGTGGTATATGACCCCAGTCAAGCTAGCAAAAATTTATCACCTGCCTGACAATAAGTGTTGGAAGTGTAAAGAAACTGAAGGTACTTTCTATCACCTTTGGTGGACGTGCCCAAAGATTAAGGCTTTCTGGGATATGATATATAATGAATTGAAAAAGGTACTTAAATGTACTTTCTCTAAAAAACCAGAGGCCTTTCTCTTGGGCATTGTCGGCCAATTGGTGTCAAAGAAAGATAGAATCTTTTTTATGTACGCTACGACAGCAGCAAGAATACTCATTGCAAAGTATTGGAAGACACAAGAACTACCCACTTTGGAAGAATGGCAGATGAAGGTGATGGACTATATGGAACTGGCTGAGATGACTGGCAGAATCCGCGATCAGGGGAAGGAGACAGCGGAAGAAGAATGGAAGAAATTCAAAATCTATCTTAAGGACTACTACAAACTCGATGAATGTTAGAATGTTGAGGTTTTGAGAAAGAAAGGGTTACAGTGACATAAGATTAGACCGAAAGAAAGATTAAGAGGATAGAGGTTTGACAGAAATATTAAGAAGTTGCTAAAAAATTTTGGACATTGGGATGCAGAAAGGGGAGGTATGGGGGAGTCTGAGAAACAAGGTTCATGAAAAAAAAGGTTATGAAATTATATGTGTTTGTATGTCTTTTTATATGTTTGTATTGTTTTTTAAAAAATTTGTAAAACCAATAAAAATTTTATAAAAAAAAAAAAGAGAGCGAGAGGGGTCGGTGCGCACTGACCCCTCTCGCTCTCCAGGCTTCAGGTTCCTTTCAACCTGCTCTTTGGGCCTGGCAGGGGGAAGCCCACCACCAGCCCCAAAGAGCAGGTCGGGGAGCAGGAAAAGGCGTGCAGCGGAGAGGCTCCTGCCATAGCCCCCCGCGCGCTCTCCTGGCTGGAGAGGTGACATGCGGAGAGGCTCCTGCCATAGTCGCGCGTCACCTCTCCAGCCGGGAGAGGGTCCCGGGGGGCTTGTTTAGCCGCGGGCGCGCTCTCCCGGCTGGAGAGGTGACACGCAGCTATAAGGCTCCTGCCGTAGTCGCGCGTCACCTCTCCAGCTGGGAGAGGGCCTCGGGGGGGGGGCTGTTTTAGCCGCGCGCACGCTCTCCCGGCTGGAGAGGTGACACGCGGCTATAGAGGCTCCTGCTAAAACCGCCCGTCACCTCTCCAGCCGGGAGAGGGTCTCTGGGGGCTTGTATAGCTAAAGAAGCCCCCCGCGACCCTCTCCCGGCTGGAGAAGTGGTGTGCGGCTAAAGAGGCTCCTGCTATAGCCGCGCGCCACCTCTCCAGCCAGGAGAGGGTCACGGGGCTATGGCTTCTTCGCTCCATAGGACGCACACACATTTCCCCTTCCTTTTTGAAGGGGAAAAAGTGCGTCCTATAGAGCGAAAAATACGGTAATAGCTATATTTGAGACAGAACCGGAATGAATTCCTATCTCTAAAAATAACACAACTTCAGGCCATCAATAATTCAACACTACATATTCAAGGTTGAAGTTTTCACTAGTACAGTTATCCATTGGCCTTTAATATGCAGCTTTTTCAGTGTCACTTTAGGATGGGCTCGAGATCAGGCAGCCCATCATTATTATAAGGAACAGTGGGGGTCTGGGATTCCGATGTGCCAGCTGCTTTTCTTCTGCTTCTCTTGCTCTCTCCATGCAATGTGAGGCATGTAGATGGAGGTCCATCTCCAAGAACAGGAGCTTCCCTGAGCACCCATTCAGCTGACCTATCATTTTCATTTCCAAAATATTGGGAACATGGGTAGGACATGGGAGAATGTAGGAGATGTTAAAATAAGAGAAGGGGCTAATGTTCTCTTCCTTGAAACCCAAACAGGATTTCCTTTCCTCGCACTCTGAAGAAGGTGATGGAGAAGACATTCAGAATTCCAAGGAATGGGGCACCTTTCGTTTCATGAGGAATAGAAATTAAAATGTGTGAAATGTGGGATATGCTTCATTGAATGAGGACACATAGCTCACATCAATGACTCCGAGAGGAGAAACCATTTAAAGGTATGGAGTGTGGGAAAAGATTCACTGATACTGGAAAACTTAGAACACATCAGCGGATTTACATGGACAAGAAAGGATTACAATGCAGGGAGTGTGGAAGAACTTCAGTCAGAGAGGATTCCTCAATATATACCAGCGGACTACACAGGGGAAAAACCATTTAAATGTATGGAGTGCGGGAAAAGCTTTCGTCAGAGTGGACACTTAAGTTCACATCTACGTATTCACACAGGTGACAAACCTTTTAAATGCATGGAGTGTGGGAAGAGCTTCAGGCAGAATGGAGAACTTAAATTACACCAGCGAAGTCACACTGGTGAAAAACCATATAAATGTATGGAGTGTGGAAAGAGCTTCATTCAGAGTGGGCACCTCAATATGCATCAACGGACTCACACAGGGGAGAAACCATATAAATGTATAGAGTGCGGAAAGAGCTTTAGTGATAGTGGACACCTTAGGAAACATCAACGGACTCACACAGGGGAGAAACCATATAAATGTATAGAGTGTGGAAAGAGCTTCAGTCAGTGTGGATACCTTAGAATACATCAACGGATTCACACAGGGGAGAAACCATATAAATGTATAGAGTGCGGAAAGAGCTTCAGTCAGAGTGGAGACCTTAGGAAACATCAACGGACTCACACAGGGGAGAAACCATATAAATGTATAGAGTGCGAAAAGAGCTTTAGTGATAGTGGACACCTTAGGAAACATCAACAGACTCACACAGGGGAGAAACCATATAAATGTATAGAGTGCGGAAAGAGCTTCAGTCAGAGTGGAAACCTTAGAAATCATCAACAGACTCACAAAGGGGAGAAACCATTTAAATGCATGGAGTGTGGAAAAAGCTTCTGTCAGAGTGGACAGTTAAGTTCACACCTACGGATTCACACGGGTGAAAAACCTTTTAAATGCATGGAGTGTGGGAAGAGCTTCAGGCGGAATGAAGAACTTAAATTACACCAGCGAAGTCACACTGGTGAAAAACCATATAAATGTATGGAGTGTGGAAAGAGCTTCAGTTGTAGTGGACACCTCAATAAACATCACCAGACTCACACAGGGGAGAAACCATATAAATGTATGGAGTGTGGAAAGAGCTTCAGTCAGAGTGGACAGCTCAATAAACATCACCAGACTCACACAGGGGAGAAACCATATAAATGCAGGGAGTGTGGAAAGAGCTTCAGTCGGAGTGATGTACTTAGAATACATCAACGGACTCACACGGGTGAAAAACCATATAAATGCATGGAATGTGGAAAGAGCTTCAGTTTCAATGCAAACCTTAGAAAACATCAACTGGCTCACAAACGGGGGAAAACCATTTAAATGCATTGAGTGCGGAAAGAGCTTCAGTCAGAATGGAGACCTTAAAACACATCAATGGATTTACACAGGGGAGAAACCATATAAATGTGTGGACTGTGGAAAGAGCTTCATTCAGATTGGAAACCTTAGAAAACATCAACGGACACACAGGGAGGAAACCATTTAAATGTATGGAGTTTGGAAGGAGCTTCAGTCCGAGTGGAACCCTTGATTTACATCAACAAACTCCCACATGAGAGAAACCCTATAAATGTCAAATAGACAGAGGTTCAGTCCTAGTGGAATCCTACATCTACAGACTCATGGACAGGAAGAACTTTAACAGTTGACACCCTCCAAACCCATCAACCCTCAAAGAGGAGAAGCTGTTTAAAGGGAAAGGTTGCAGAAAGTGCTTTAGTTATAATGGAGTGTTTAAGGAACATCTAAGGACTCAGAGGGGAGAACCCATTGAGATGTATGGAGTGTGGGACATGTTCCTTTCAGAGTCCACTCTTTTGTTCACAGCAATGAACTCAGCAGGAAATCCATCTTAAAAGCATGTCATGTATTTGAGGTTCTGCTGTTTATATGTAAAACTGTATAGTAATGAAATAATGAAGGTAACGTCTCACTCTTGTGAGTATAATTTTAGATGTAAGGTACCTTTTGATAGTGAGGGGGAGTTGGTGAATCTGGATTTCTGGGATGCTCATCTGCCTGGAAGCAGCTGGCAGAAAGCTTTTCTTCGGGAAGCCCCTGCAGATTTCAAATTGCTGAATTCCCTCCGAGACGACAGGAAGCGAAAGACACACTTCCATTGCCTCTTTCCTCCCTTGCTCCCTTCTGCCGGTTTGTGTGCTTGGATATCCTGTGAGCTGTATTTTTCTATTGCTGAAACTGGATTTGCTCTCAGGAGCCAAGTTTTGTGCCTCACTGGGGACCCAGTGAGAACTGTAAGCTTTGAAAGCTCAGTAAACTATTACTGAAGAAGTCCTGCTGCCTCTGTGTGTGTTTCTGACCTCAGTGTGGGACTTGCTCTGCACGTGGCCCCTACCCTGCTGCTACTCTGCTCATGCCCTGGAGTTGCTCTACTCAAGCATGCAAGACGGTTTTTGCACCAAACTCTGTCATCCCCCCCCCCCACCGCATGATCTCCAAGCACTGCTTCTTCACCAGAACTTCATCCCTGCCTCCTAAGCATTCTGAAGAAAACTGATAATACTGTAAGTTAATGGGTGATTTCCCCCCAAGCCTAATTGCAAGAGGGGAACGGAGGGGCTGCAGGGACCAGGGAAGTCTCCTGATGGGCCCATCTTCACTCTTGAACCCCATGGGGCAACCCCAGAGCTCCTCCTTATTCTGGGGTTTGGGGAAGGTAGTATTTTTCCATAGTCCCAGAAGTTTTTATTCAGTCATGCTGCTAGGGAGCTTTCCTACCAGAGGGCCACAGTTCATACTGCTATCATACTGATTTTACTGTTGTTTCTGCTTTTGCTGTCATGGAACAGCTGGGTGCTGGGGGGGGAGGCACCAGTTGGGGGACCTACAAGGGAAGAAGGCTTAGATCCTGGGGACTTGTGGTGGGATGGCAGTGAGCAGAAAGAGGGAGGAAAGGGAGCAGAACGGGAGGGGAGGTGTTGCAAGCTGAGGAGGAAACAGGGTTTGCTGAGCAGGAAGAGGCTGGGGCAGAGAGCAGTTTAGGCTCAGAGAGGGGAGAGGAGGGGGCCAGGAGACTCAGAGGAGGCCGGCTGCTGAAGCATCCAGGGAGACTCCCCCTCCTGCTGTGACCAGCTCCCCTCTCCCCTGGTCTCCCAGAGCACACAGAGAAATCCAATTCAGACCCATGAGCCTGTACATTATATTAATGGGCGTAGGGTTTTTTTGTCCCAACATGTATCACTTTAATCTCATTGACAATGAACTGTATTTTCGGCCCATTCAGCCCGTTTGGAGAAGTCCCTTTGGAGCTCCTTGCAATCTCTCTCCTTGCAATCTCTCTTTATTTGCTCCGGTTGGCTGGACTCCTTCCTTTATTCCGCAGGGACCCGCAGGGCTCAGCCCGACGAGCTGGGGGACTGAGCAGCCTCGCACCTAGATTTTTCTGTAACACCCCCCCTCCCAAAGAAAGGCTCAACATCCACGCCCATGGGTGCCTGTGGCCAGCCCAGACCCTGGAGCATCTGCATCTCTGCCCCAGCTTGAAAGTTAGGGGCTGCAGTGCTGGCGAACCTTATCTCCCCCTCCCCGTCCAGACAGAGGAATGGCCTTGTGGGGTTGGACAAGAGAGTCCCATCTGGGTGGTGTGGAGTGGGCAGTGCGGGGGCTTCTAACTGTAAAGTAGGGAGGGCCCTCCTGAGTCATCTAGTTGAACCCCCAGCATAGCAGGAATCTCAGCTAAGCATCACAGGCAGGGGGCCATCCAAGCTCCCCCCACCCCACCCAAGGAAGGCACTCTCCCCACTGGCTGTGCTGTACTGCCTTCTCAATGGCCCCTCCTGGCACACTTTCCTGTGGCCAAAGACTCTTTCCCAGGGAGGGCATCTGAACAAGAGACCACCCCCCTGTAGGGTGCTGTGTTGATGTCCGCCAGGCGGAGGAAAAGCAAAGCAGCTGTGCATTGGCACTGAGGGCTCCCAGACTTCAGCCAGTGCCCTCCAGGTGTTCTGAGTGCAGGCATCGTGCTGGCTGGCACTGAGGGGAACTGCAGGCCCATCTGCCTAGGGGGCACCTGCGTGGAGATGGCGGTGCCAGGGAGAAGAGCAGCAGGTTCAGCCAGAGGCTCCTAAAGGCTCTGCCCAGTTTCTTGGCGTGGAAGATGTGACCAGCCAGCAGGGGCTGGGGCTGGCCCCTCCTGGCCCCTGTTACCCAAGGTAAAGGACCCCTGGATGGTCAAGTCCAGCCAAAGGCGACTATGGGGACTTACTTCTGAGTAAGCGTGCATCAGAAGGAACGGCAAATCCCTTTGAACCGCGTAGGGGTTACTCCTAAGTAAGCGTGCATCAGGCAGGGCTGCAGAGTGGTGCTTCCAAAAGCAGCCAGTTTGCACATCTCATGGGATTTAATGTCTTGCCATTATAAATGCACGGGGATGAGCGCATCTACACAGACACATTTCCGCAAAAAGACCCAAACTCCGGCATGTAGCCGCAGGTGATACAATAGGAGCCTTTCTGCAAATGGCCTTTGCAACACAACTCACTGGGTGGTAACAAAGTACACACATTGGCCTCTTTGCAACGTAGCCCCGTTTCCTCAATGAATCCACCCATTTCAGTAAAACCTGAGCTGAAATAGTAAGGAGAGCAAAACAGCAGCCCTGTCTGACCCCCGTCAGCCCCCAGACTCCCCCAGTCACGTGGCAGGAGATTCATCCTGAGCCCCCCCCCTCCGTGAGATGGGTATGACATCATGGATGATCCATATGAACCATTGGTGATCCACATGATCCAAGCAGACTGGTCCAAAGAACAGATCTCTAGGCCTGAATGAAACGGGTCTGCGATGATGGATTCTGGAGTCAAGAAATCCTCCCTTTCCAGTGATCTCTCAGGCTGGCCGGGAAAAGGCAGCGAGCAGGAATCCTCAGGCATCCCGATGGACAGACAGACTTGTCATGTTGCCAAAACACGAACTCGGAGTCTGATCTGATTTAAATGCAGAACTCATTTTGTGACTTCGCTGTTGGATTGCCGGGATCAGCCCCTCCCCCCTGTCCTGATCCCCCAGAAGGAAGACGGGGGGGGGATTTCTACTCCTCCTTCTCGCCCCCCCACCCGCTCAAAACCTTCCCTCCCCTCCCGGCACATCCTTCTCTCACCCCGCCCATAGAATCCCAAATCACACCCCCAATACATTGCTCCTCCTCCTCCTCCTCCAATCCGGTTTCTGCTCCAGAAATGTGGGGCGGGGAGCCCCCCTCCCAACCTTTCTGCTTCTCCCGGAAGTGGAGCTTCCACTCCGGATTGCTGCTCTGCCCCAAAGCTGGGAGGGGGGCGCTTTCTGAAAGGGGAGGGAGGAGGCAGGGGACCCCCCCCCCGTGGATGTTGCAGGAAAGGAGGATCGGGAGCGAGGAGAAAGAGGTAAAGGGGCAGCGGGGGGCGTAGAGGGGGGGAAAGGACCCAGAGACCCCCGCCAGCTCCCCCAAGCGCCCCCAGGGGGCTTTCCTCGCAGGGCGGACCCCTCACCCGTCTCCCGTGGCTCTGCGCGGAGAAAAGCGGCCCATGAAAGGGTTAAGCGGCGCGAGAGACGCCTGGATAGAGACCCCCTGTCCCTCCCATGCTTCTCTTGGGGGGGGGGGCGCCTCCGGCTGGAGAGATGGGGGCTCAGGGTGTGGGGTGAGCAGAGCCAAGGGAGCCTCTGGATGCAGGGGAGACTCCGGGAGAGAGGGATGGGGTCAAGGAAATTGGGGGGGGGAGGGAGAGGAGCATCCCTGGGGCAGGGAAGGGCAGCATTGGCGGCGGGGGGGGAGATATCGCGTCTCCATTGTGGCAGCTGGGGGGGATCTCTGGTGGAACAGCCTTGGCCTCTCTCTCCCGCCCAGTAATCGACCCCCCCCTTTAAGGCGACCAGAGAGGGATCCCTGGAAAGTGGGGGTCCTGTCCCCCACCCTTCCTTCCTGCAATCTCTATCCTCTTCCTGCCCCATAAGCCCCTGCCCTGTCCAGACACAGCGATTCTGCCCAGTCCATTCCTTGGTCCCCTGGAGAGGAGAGGAAGTCCAGAGGAAGAGATGTCAGTATTTGTAGAAAGAAAAGAGAAGGTTCTGGCCTCCCTTGGTCGCCTCAGCCTGGTCCTTGGGCCCTTGTCAGCATAAAAGAGTCCACGAGAAGAGCATCCTTGCAGAGTACTTTCTGCTTTTACAGTGGTACCTCGGGTTACAGACGCTTCAGGTTACAGACTCCACTAACCCAGAAATAGTACCTCAGGTTAAGAACTTTCCTTCAGGATGAAAACAGAAATATTGTGGTGGTGGTGCAGCGGCAGCAGGAGGCCCCATTAGCTAAAGTGGTGCTTCAGGTTAAGAACAGTTTCAGGTTACGAATGGAACTCTGGAACGAATTAAGTACTTAACCCGAGGTACCACTGTCTTCTCAAACGTCTTTCTGCAAAAGCGACTGTTACGGCTAAAATCTGGGTGCGGAGTTGCCCTGCCACCCAGCTCGTCGGACTAAGTCCGCGGGTCCTAGCGGGAAAAGTAAGCTCAGCCGGACACAGGAGCAAACTGCGGAGACCCAAAGTTTATTGCGCAACAGGTTCAAACTAGCATTGAACCCCGAGAATGGGGCGACATGAACTTTTAAAAGTTCCCTCCGACTCCCAGAATACAGTGCGAGAAACGTCATGAATACATTGTGGAAAGGTTGGGTTTCACAGGTTACATCATGAATATATTTCACACGTCATGAATATATTTAAGGAAGGTAGGGTTACATTAATTAACATTTGAGATAAGGGAGGGGGAAATATGCAGAGTGAGAGATATACATAGATAAGCATTTATTGAGTACCGGTGGTGGCAAGACAATGGGTCAGAGATATGCATCGTCTGCCACCTAATATTGCCCGGAGGAAGGGTTAGGCGAAGCGATCCGACAGGATTAAGAAGTTCCTGTGTACGTGTCCTGTCGCTTCGGGGATTATGGAGGTAGGGGTCACATCATGGAGTCCAAAGGGAGCTGAGTTGAACGACACCGAGAGCAAGAAAATCGGAGTTACGGTTGATTTTATATCAATTTCTAAAGGTTTTCTATGCTTTCAGACCTATTCTGTACTGTTAATCACGATCGGAAACAGAACGGATATATTGTAGCAAGAATGGATACATCGTAACAGGATTTTGACAGTTTTACGAGGTCCCTGGTTTCGGATCCATTGTTCTCGCAGTGGGGGGCCGTCAGCAGCTTGTCAGGAGTCAAATGAGGCGTGCAGTAGCTCCCTGAGCTAGCTCCTGCAGGGCGAATGCATGGCTGTGATTGGCTAAAGCGGAGCTCAGTATAGTGAATGGAGATACATTATGATGCGGTCTACTCACGTTAGGAATAGGGCGAGAGGAAGGCATAGACAAGATCGGGGCTTATTTCGCCCGTATAGAGAAAGGAAAAAGGCCTTTTATCAACAAGGCAGGGGTATAGTGTGGTGCTTGTGTAACGATGTGGGGGCTGAGGGTTCTAGGCAGAGCTGGGCACTGTCGAGGTCATCGCCTCGGGCCCGTCCAGGAAGCGATGGAGGGGAAGATGGTTGCCCCCCCTCCTTTCCTTCCGTATCAGACTGACCAACTGTACACACATCAACACTGCCAGCTTTCACCAACCAACCAACCCAACACCAAACTAACATTTCTCACTCTATATATACAACCCACAGCTTTTTAAACATTAAAGAAATAGCGGCCAATTTTTAGCTGTGACAAGAGAGGAGGGGAGAGGCCTTCTCAGAAGCGGCTCTTGGTTTCCCCAATCCCACCCAGGAAGCAGCCAGAAGCCTTTTCCTCTCTCTCAGGCTTCCATCTTTAATTGTCCTTTCTTGAGGATGAGGATAATGTACACCTGTCATCAGAAACGGGTGCAGAGTCCATGGAATGGCTCTCAGGATTGAAACGGAAGCTGCACCTCAAAAGCATTTCTGTTCCTCTTATTCTTTGTAGGCAATGTCAGAGTGACTGACAAGCTGAGATACAACCCATCAGCATCCGATGACAGCGACTGCATGAATCTTTGGTCACGTGACAAAGACACATGAGAGCAGAAGCAGCCAAGCAGGCTGGGAAGTGCAGGGACTGCACAGTCATTTGGGCCTCCTCAATTTATTCAGGCTTAACTGCTAACTGTGGAGTCATTCTGACATGTGACGTAGTAGCCAGTTGCACTTTGTGCTCTCTGTAAGATTTCAGCAAGAGTCTGTCTGTCTCAGCCGTGAGCAGAGTCTGTATGCAATCTCAGTCAAACTGTTTGGAACCATGTGGTTTATGAAGAAGCTTCTTTTAATTCAGTAAAGCTTTTATTCTTTAAAACTCTGCATTATTAATTTACACTGCATGTCATCTTCCCAGTCAAAGGACCCCTTTTCTTGATAGACAGTGCCTGTGGCTGGAGGCTCTACACACCGGGTGTGCCTGTGGAGGCCAAAGACTGCCAGTATTAGCACAGGTGAGGTGTGTGACCTCCCCAAATTTACAGATTGTATATGAATGAGAAGTCGTGGGTGGGATTATATTTTACAGCAATCCTGTGATTTTCTCCACCTATAACATTTTGTGAGCTGATATAGCAGTACGAATTCCAAAATAACTTTTAAAAACCCCACAAGATCATCATCATCATCATCATCATCATCACATTTATACCCCCAGGCCTTAGTTTGCCTCCCCATGATCTAGAGAAAACACCAGCTTTGAATCATGCAGAGTAAAACTACAAGAACTTTCTTGAACCGATAGGTTAGGAATTATCGCTGTACTTAGATCCGTAATTTTCTATGCCTGTACAATTTAGCAGAGTAACATTCTCCCTTTTAAACTTACAGCGGATGCATTTGCTTAGGCTCGATAAGCCTCTAAAATAAGTTTCCTTGGTAATTTCCACTTTAGTCCCTCATAAAAAGATAGACACGACACAGTCTTCTATAAAAGTATAAAAAGAGTTGACTCACACATTCTGTTCACAAATGGATCCCAGAAGGCGGTGACCCCCAGGCTGCACACCTGGTCCTTCAGGGGCACAGTTACCCCATCAGAACCAGGAGTGCTCCCACCCTCCCCCAGGGACAGTATTTCTGACTTGTCAGGATTCAACCACAATGTGTTGGCCGCCATCCATCCTCCAACCACCTCCAAACAGACACACAGGGCATTCACCATCCTCACTAGTTCCAATTTAAAAGAAAGGAAGAGCTGGGCATCATCCACATACTGGTGAACACCCAGCCCAAACCCCCTGATGATCTCTCCCAGTGGCTGCATATAGATAGTAAAAAGCATGGGGGAGAGAATGGAGTCCTGAGGCACCCCACAAGTAAGCATCCAGGGGTCTGAACACTCATCCCCCAACACCACTCTCTGGACATGGCCCAGGAGGAAGGAGGGGAACTACTGCATAACAGGGCCCCCAGCTCCCCTAGAGGGTCCAGAAGGACACCATGGCCAAAGGTCTCCAAAGCCGCTGAGAGAACCAGGAAAGAGCTTCCCCCTCAGCCTCTGGCCCGTTGGAGATCATCAACCAGCACAACCAGGGCAATTTCAGTCCCATGATGAGGCCTGAATCCCCATTGGAAGGATCATGGTGGCAGGAGCTTTCCTGGTCCTGCACCCCCAAAAGCGCCAGCCACAAGACTTTCAATAGCTTTGAAGGGGCCACATGATTCATTGTGGTCTTTTCTTCGAAAAACAAATATTTTGAATACTTTTACAGTGCAGTATTATGTAAATATGGGATCCGGGTGGCGCTGTGGGTTAAACCACAGAGCCTAGGACTTGCCAATCAGAAGGTCGGCGGTTCGAATCCCTGTGATGCGGTGAGCTCCCATTGCTCGGTCCCTGCTCCTGCCAACCTAGCAGTTCGAAAGCATGTCAAAGTGCAGGTAGATAAATAGGTACCACTATGGCGGGACGGTAAACGGCGTTTCCATGCGCTGCTCTGGTTCGCCAGAAGCGGCTTAGTCCTGCTGGCCAAATGACCTGGAAGCTGTACGCTGCTGTTTCCCTCGGCCAATAAAGCGAGATGAGCGTCGCAACCCCAGAGTCGGCCACGACTGGACCTAATAGTCAGTGGTCTCTTTACCTTTACCTTTTTGATGTAAATTTTATTTCTGTTTCTGTTTCCCTTGTTCCACATCGGAGAGACTTTGATACACAGCTCTGAGACCATCTCCCCACTTGAAACTGCTGTGTTTGTAGCACTGCCAGCCTGGGCAGGGTGTTTGGGGGTCCTGGGCTGCCTAGACAACCAGACCCCCTTCTCAGCCCGGCTGATATGGTCCCAAGGAAAGCAGAGCAGTATGTTTGGCACCAGCCTGGCTGCAGGAGTTGAAAGAAGAAGGTGTGCAGGACACCATCCAACTGTCTTAGAGACTCCACTCTGGATTTGTGTGGGTTTCCCTCCATAGCCTTTTCTTCTCCTGAACATAACTCACGAGGCAGTGAAGTTTTAGGACCACAGTTTTCCTTCTCGATGGGCTTCCTTCCCCCGTTGATGATCCCATCTGCCATTCACTTTCCTCTGCAGGATGGGCAGAATCTGCCTTCTGGACTGTGGGATTCACTGTTCTCCTCCTCCTCTCCATCCACCAGGGCTTGACTTCAGGGGCAGCAGAATTGCCCAGCCCCCCAAGGATTTGAGACCCATCAGCTATCCTCACCTGGTTTTGCCAGCCGGTTGAAGCCATTCCTGGGATTGTGGCCCCTGATTCATCCTGACAGCTTCTGGAAGGCACAGGTGAGAGCTGAGTGCAGGGTGGGGACCACCAAATGTACTACCGCTCCCATGACACCTCATGACATCATATAATAGCTATATTTGAGACAGAAGCGGAATGAATTCATGTCTCTAGAAATAACACAACTTCAGGCCTTCAATAATTCCACACTATATATTCAAGGTAGAAGTTCTCACTAGTACAGTTATCCATTTGCCTTTAATATGCAGCTTTTCCAGTGTCACTTTAGGATGAGCTCGAGATCAGGCAGCCCCTCATTATTATAAGGAGCAGTGGGGGTCTGGGATTCCGATGTGCCAGCTGCTTTTCTTCTGCTTCTCCTGCTCTCGCCATGCAATGTGAGGCATGTAGATGGAGGTCCATCTCCAAGAACAGGAGCTTTCCTGAGCACCCATTCAGCTGACCCCAAGCACCAAGCCTTGTCACTAGTTCTCTGACTGACCCAGACCACAGTCCCTGGAGAAGATGTAGACCTGGGCCTCCCAAAATGGTCCACATGGACCTCTTGTGGCCAATGGGACTGTGCAGGTGATTCATAAAGATCTAGAGGTGGATGCAGGATTATGATGCAGAGGATGGGGAATGTCCAAAGGAACGATGGACCAGAGAAAGAGAGGGCCTGTTCATGGACAGAGAGCAGCTGCCTTTCCTGTGAGGAAACAATTGATTTGAAAAGGCTGTATTCCAAGATCATGCTGCTTTATTAACGATGATTGAGGATTATGAAAGGTGGTGATGCATTACTCTCATTTGATGACATTGCTTTTTCATTTCCAAAAATTTGGGAACATGGGTAGGAGGTGGGGGAATGTAGGAGATGTTGAAATAAGAGAAGGGGCTAATGGCGCTTGATGTGTTCTCTTTCCCTTTGTTCTCTTCCTTGAAACCCAAACAGGATTTCCTTTCCTTTCCTCCCACTCTGAAGAAGGTGATGGAGAAAACATTCAGAATTCCAAGGAATGGGGCACCTTTCGTTTCATGAGGAATAGAAATTAAAATGTGTGAAATGTGGGATATGCTTCATTGAATGAGGACACATAGCTCACATCAATGACTCTGAGAGGAGAAACCATTTAAAGGTATGGAGTGTGGGAAAAGTTTCACTGATAGTGGAAAATTTAGAACACATCAGCAGATTTACATTTACAAGAAAGGATTACAATGCAGGGAGTGTGGAAGAACTTCAGTCAGAGAGGATTCCCCAATATACATCAGCGGACTCACACAGAGGGAAAACCATTTAAATGCATGGAGTGCGGGAAAAGCTTCCGTCAGAGTGGACACTTAAGTTCACATCTACGGACTCACACAGGGGAGAAACCATATAAATGTATAGAGTGCGGAAAGAGCTTTAGTGATAGTAGAGACCTTAGAAAACATCAACGGATTCACACAGGGGAGAAACCATATAAATGTATAGAGTGTGGAAAGAGCTTCAGGCTGAGTGGAGACCTTAGAAATCATCAACGGACTCACACAGGGGAGAAACCATTTCAATGTATGGAGTGTGGAAAAAGCTTCTGTCAGAGTGGACAGTTAAGTTCACACCTACGGATTCACACGGGTGAAAAACCTTTTAAATGCATGGAGTGTGGGAAGAGCTTCAGGCAGAATGCAGAACTTAAATTACACCAGCGAAGTCACACTGGTGAAAAACCATATAAATGTATGGAGTGTGGAAAGAGCTTCATTCAGAGTGGGCAGTGCAATATGCATCAACGGATTCACACAGGGGAGAAACCATATAAATGTATAGAGTGTGGAAAAAGCTTCTGTCGGAGTGGACACTTAAGTTCACATCAACGGACTCACACGGGTGAAAAACCATTTCAATGTATGGAGTGTGGAAAAAGCTTCTGTCGGAGTGGACACTTAAGTTCACATCAACGGACTCACACGGGTGAAAAACCATTTCAATGTATGGAGTGTGGAAAGATCTTCAGTCGGAGTGGACACCTCAATAAACATCACCAGACTCACACAGGGGAGAAACCATATAAATGTATGGAGTGTGGAAAGAGCTTCAGTCGGAGTGGACACCTCAATAAACATCACCAGACTCACACAGGGGAGAAACCATATAAATGTATGGAGTGTGGAAAGAGCTTCAGTCAGAGTGATAGACTTAGAATACATCAACGGACTCACACGGGTGAAAAACCATATAAATGTATGGAGTGTGGAAAGAGCTTCAGTCAGAGTGGGCACCTTAGAAATCATCAACGGACTCATACAGGGGAGAAACCTTTTAAATGTAGGGAGTGCGGAAACAGCTTTAGTGATAGTGGAAACCTTAGAAAACATCAACGGATTCACACAGGGGAGAAACCATTTCAATGCATGGAGTGTGGAAAGAGGTTCAGTCATAGTGGAGTCCTTAGATATCATCAACGGACTCACACAGGCAGGGGAAAACCATATGAATGTATGGCATGCGGGAAGAGCTTCAGTCAAAAAGGAGACCTTAAATTACACCAGCAGACTCACAAACGGGAGAATCCATTTAATGCATGGAATGTGGAAAGAGCTTCCGTTTCAATGCAAGCCTTAGAAGACATCAACTGGCTCACACAGGGGGAAAACCATTTAAATGCATTGAGTGCGGAAAGAGCTTCAGTCAGAATGGAGACCTTAAAACACATCAACGGATATACACAGGGGAGAAACCATATAAATGTGTGGACTGTGGAAAGAGCTTCATTCAGATTGGAAACCTTAGAAAACATCAGCGGACTCATAAAGGGTGAAACCATTTAAATGCATTGAGTGCGGAAAGAGCTTCAGTCGAAATGGAAACCTTAAGACACATCAACGGATTCACACAGGGGAGAAAACATTTAAATGTATGGAATGTGGAAAGAGCTTCAGTAAGAGTGGACACCTCAATATACATCAACGGACACACAGGGGAGAAACCATGGAAACCTGGAAGCCAATTTTCTTATCCAAATTATAGGCCTCCATTATCTGATAATAATGAAGCCAGTCTCGCACTTTGTTTTTTAATTTCTCAAAACTCTGCAGTTTCAGTCTATCTCCTTCTTGTTCCAAAATTTCCCAATATTTCGGCCATTTGGCCTCCATATTGAGCCTTTTCAGAGCTTTCGCTTCCATCGGTGACAACCACCTTGGGGTTTTATTTGCCAATAAATCCTTGTATCTTATCCAAACATTAAACAATGCTTTCCTGACAATATGATTTTTGAATGCTTTATGTGCTTTGACCTTATCATACCATAAATATGCATGCCATCCAAATATGTTGTTAAATCCTTCTAGATCCAAAATGTATTTTCAAGAAGTAGCCATTCTTTCAACCAGCAAAAAGCTGCTGATTCATAGTAAAGTTTAAAGTCTGGCAGGGCAAATCCACCTCTTTCCTTTGCATCAGTTAATATCTTAAATTTTATTCTCGGCTTCTTGCCCTGCCAGACAAATCTAGAGATATCTCTCTGCCACTTCTTGAAACAGTCCATCTTGTCCACAATTTGCAATGTCTGAAACAAAAACAACATTCTAGGCAATACATTCATTTTTATCACAGCAATACGACGCAACAGTGAAAGCTTCAAATTTGACCAAATTTCTAAATCTTTTTTCACTTCTGTCCAACATGTTTCATAATTATCTTTAAATAAGTTCCCATTTTTGGCTGTCATATTAATCCCCAAGTATTTCACTTTCTTAACCACAGTCAGGCCTGTCTCATTCTGAAACCTCTCTCTTTCAATCGGTGTTCAATTTTTCTCTAAAACCTTAGTTTTTAGCTTGTTCAGTTTAAATCCTGCCACTTGACCAAATTCTTGAATTAATTCTAAAACCCTTTTAGTACTAGATTCTGGCTCCTGGACCGTCAATACTAAGTCATCTGCAAATGCTCTCAGTTTGTACTGTTTGGCTCCGACCTGTATACCTTTAACCAACCGGTCCCTTCTAATCATATTCAGCAGAACCTCCAGGACCGATATGAAAAGCAGTGGGGAGATTGGGCACCCCTGTCGTGTCCCTTTTTCTATCTTAAATTCTTCCGCCACCACATTATTTACAATTAATTTAGCCTTTTGTTCAGAGTATATTGCACCTATACCATTTTCAAAACCTTGGCCTACCCCCATCCCCTGTAGGTTCTTCTTCATGAAACTCCAAGACATATTGTCAAAAGCTTTCTCCGCATCCACAAATATCAGAACTGCTTTAGTGTTTATATTCACTTCTAGTTTTTCCAAAATATCAATTATGTTCCTCAAATTATCAGACAAGTGTCTTCCCGGGAGAAAGCCCGCTTGGTCTTTATGAATCTCTTCCATCAATACAAAGAGCTTCAGTTTCAATGCAAGCCTTAGAAGACATCATCTGACTCACACAGGGGAGAAACCATTTAAATGTATGGAGTTTGGAAGGAGCTTCAGTCCGAGTGGAACCCTTGATTTACATCAACAAACTCCCACATGAGAGAAACCATATAAATGTCAAGTAGACAGAGGTTCAGTCCTAGTGGAAGTCCTACATCAACAGACTCATGGACAGGGAGAACTTTAACAGTTGACACCCTACAAACCCATCAACCCTCAAAGAGGAGAAGCTGTTTAAAGGGAAAGATTGCAGAAAGTGCTTTAGTTATAATGGAGTGTTTAAGGAACATCTAAGGACTCAGAGGGGAGAACCCATTTAGATGTATGGAGTGTGGGACATGTTCCTTTCAGAGTCCACTCTTTTGTTCACATCAATGAACTTTTGGGAGAATCAATTCCTGCGTCCAGTCAGCGCTTCCCCTGTGCAGCTCTGCTTTGGGGCTTGAGGCTGACCTGGGCAGGAGAGCAGAGTAGCAGCGGTCCTGCGTCCGTGTGAGATGAGGGATAAATCAAGTCCAAAGACAGTTCGGTTCTTATCTCTAGAAGCGTTTATTTACAAGCCATAAATCAGTCACATTCCATCGGAGCTTTCCGGCATCTTCTGTGCTCAAAAGCACACACGCAGCCTCTGAGTTGAGCTGCGTCTTAGGCAGAATCGAAAGCAAGTCTGAACAGAGATAAAGACTGTGACTCACTTCTCTGCGTCAAGCTCCTCCCAGATACAGGACACCATGGAGTTTTAACCCTGTCAGTTCCAAACTCCACACCCCCTCTTGTCCTGCATCTGGGGACAATAGCCAACAATGCTTTCCCCATACACAGACCCTCACAGAACTCCTCGTGCTTCTGGAAGGTTAATGGTTTTGTGAAACCATCAGCGAGGTTCTTGGTTGAGGGACAGTATTTCAGAGCAACTAGCCCCTCATGAACACTCTGACATACATTCCGGAAACGTATGTCCAAATGTTTGGTCCTCGCCTTGAATTGCCCCGTCTCGGCCAATTTGAGGCATGGTTGATTGTCTTCATGCACCACAATGGGCAGACAATGCTCTCCACAGATTTCCTCAACCAAACACACATAGAACTCCAGCTCTCTGCAAACCTCTGATAGAGCACTGAACTGAACTCAGCTTCAGTAGATGAAAGCGCTATGAGACTTTGCTTCCGGGACCTCCACCCAACTACTGAGTCTCCAAACTTCACCACTAGGCCTGACACTGATTTGCGGTCCTCAAGGTTAGCCCAATCCGAATCCACCCATGCGGTCAGCTTGACACCGCCCTCAGCTGACATCTTGAGGCAAAAATCTTTGGTATCTTGCAGGTAACGTAGCACCCGCTTAATACCATTCCAGGCCTGCACACTAGGACTTGAAGCCTCTCTACTGAGCAGATTGACAGCAAACACTATGTCTGGTCTGCTCCACTGTGACAGATACAGTAGACTACCCAGAGCTGACTGAAAGAGTTCAGTATTTTCAAACACAACGCATTCTACTTGCTGACACTCCTTCACGTATCGAGCCTCCATGGGAGTTTTGGCACCTGCACAATCAGACATCCTGAACTTCTCAAGCAACTGTTCAATCTTACCTTTCTGGCGAAGCAAAAAGCTTCCATCACTTGCTCTTGTGATCTCTAAGCCTAAATACGATTTGACATCTCCAAGCTGCTTGATCTTGAACCGTTTTCCAAGCTCCCTAGCAAACTTCTCCACCTGTTTACTTGTCTGTGCCATGATCAAGATATCATCAACAAACACCTGAATCACTTATTGTTTCAAGCCTGAATCTCTAATGTAAAGACTACTGTCTGCAAGAGATCTCTTAAAAGGTTCATACCTTTTCATCCAAACTCCACAGAACTCAGCAGGAAATCCATCTTAAAAGCATGTCATGTATTTGAGGTTCTGCTGTTTATATGTAAAACTGTATAGTAATGAAATAATGAAGGTAACGTCTCACTCTAGTGAGTATAATTTTAGATGTAAGGTACCTTTTGATAGTGAGGGGGAGTTGGTGAATCTGGATTTCTGGGATGCTCATCTGCCTGGAAGCAGCTGGCAGAAAGCTTTTCTTCGTGAAGCCCCTGCAGATGCCGAGTTCCTGACTTCTCTCCCAGGCGACAGGAAGCGAAAGACACACCTCCATTGCCCTGTGTCCTTCCAGCCTCTTTCCTCCCTTGCTCCCTTCTGCCGGTTTGTGTGCCTGGCTTGGATATCCTGTGTGCTGTATTTTTCTATTGCTGAAACTGGATTTGCTCTCAGGAGCTAAGTTTTGTGCCTCACTGGGGACCCAGTGAGAACTGTATGCTTTGAAAGCTCAGTAAACTATTACTGAAGAAGTCCTGCTGCCTCTGTGTGTGTTTTTGACCTCAGTGTGGGACTTGCTCTGCACGTGGCCCCTACCCTGCTGCTACTTGGCTCATGCCCTGGAGTTGCTCTACTCAAGCATGCAAGACCGTTTTTGCACCAAACTCTGTCATCCCCCCCCCCCACCGCATGATCTCCAAGCACTGATTCTTCACACAAACTTCATCCCTGCCTCCTAAGCATTCTGAAGAAAACTGATAATATTGTAAGTTAATGGGTGATTTCCCCTCAAGCCTAATTGCAAGAGGGGAACGGAGGGACTGCAGGGACCAGGGAAGTCTCCTGATGGGCCCATCTTCACTCTTGAACCCCATGGGGCAACCCCAGAGCTCCAGCTTTTTCTGGGGTTTGGGGAAGGTAGTATTTTTCCATAGTCCCAGAAGTTTTTATTCAGTCATGCTGCTAGGGAGCTTTCCTACCAGAGGCCCACAGTTCATATTGCTATCATACTGGTTTTACTGTTGTTTCTGCTTTTGCTGTCATGGAACAGCTGGGTGCAGGGGGGGGAGGCACCAGTTGGGGGACCTACAAGGGAAGAAGGCTTAGATCCTGGGGACTGGTGAGGGGATGGCAGTGAGCAGAAAGAGGGAGGAAAGGGAGCAGAACGGGAGGGGAGGTGTTGCAAGCTGAGGAGGAAACAGGGTTTGCTGAGCAGGAAGAGGCTGGGGCAGAGAGCAGTTTAGGCTCAGAGAGGGGAGAGGAGGGGGCCAGGAGACCCAGAAGAGGCCGGCTGCTGAAGCATCCAGGGAGACTCCCCCTCCTGCTGTGACCAGCTCCCCTCTCCCCTGGTCTCCCAGAGCACACACAGAAATCCAATTCAGACCCATGAGCCTGTACATTATATTAATGGGTGTAGGGTTTTTTTGTCCCAACATGTATCACTTTAATCTCATTGACAATGAACTGTCTTTTCGGCCCATTCAGCCCGTTTGGAGAAGTCCCTTTGGAGCTCCTTGCAATCTCTCTCCTTGCAATCTCTCTTTCTTTGCTCCGGTTGGCTGGACTCCTTCCTTTATTCCACAGGGACCCGCAGGGCTCAGCCCGACGAGCTGGGGGACTGAGCAGCCTGGCACCTAGATTTTTCTGTAACAGCCCCCCTCCCAAAGAAAGGCTCAACATCCACGCCCATGGGTGCCTGTGGCCAGCCCAGACCCTGGAGCATCTGCATCTCTGCCCCAGCTTGAAAGTTAGGGGCTGCAGTGCTGGCGAACCTTATCTCCCCCTCCCCGTCCAGACAGAGGAATGGCCTTGTGGGGTTGGACAAGAGAGTCCCATCTGGGTGGTGTGGAGTGGGCAGTGCGGGGGCTTCTAACTGTAAAGTAGGGAGGGCCCTCCTGAGTCATCTAGTTGAACCCCCAGCATAGTAGTAATCTCAGCTAAGCATCACAGGCAGGGGGCCATCCAAGCTCCCCCCACCCCACCCAAGGGAGGCACTCTCCCCACCGACTGGGTGGTAACAAAGTACACACATTGGCCTCTTTGCAACGTAGCCCCGTTTCCTCAATGAATCCACCCATTTCAGTAAAATCTTAGCTGAAATAGTAAGGAGAGCAAAACAGCAGCCCTGTCTGACCCCCGTCAGCCCCCAGACTCCCTCAGTCACGTGGCAGGAGATTCATCCTGAGCCCCCCCCCCCCTGAGATGGGTACGACATCCTGGATGATCCAGATATGATCCATTGATGATCCACATGATCCAAACAGACTTGGCCAAAGAGCAGATCTCTAGGCCTGAATGAAAGGGGTCTGCGGTGATGGATTCTGGAGTCAAGAAATCCTCCCTTTCCAGTGATCTCTCAGGCTGGCCCGGAAAAGGCAGCGAGCAGGAATCCTCAGGCATCCCGATGGACAGACCTGTCATGTTGCCAAAACACGAACTCGGAGTCTGATCTGATTTAAATGCACAACTCATTTTGTGACTTCGCTGATGGATTGTCGGGATCAGCCCCTCCCCCCTCTCCTGATCCCCAGAAGGAAGACGGGAGGGGGGGGGGAATTTGCTCTCCTCCTTCTCCCCCCCCCGCTCAATACTTTTCCTCCCCTCCCGGCACATCCTTCTCTCATCCCGCCCACACAATCCCAAATCACACCCCTAATACATTGCTCCTCCTCCTCCTCCTCCTCCAATCCTGCTTCGCTCCGGAAATGAGGGGGGAGCCCCCCTCCCAACCTGCCTGCTTCTCCCGCAAGTGGATCGTAGATCTGGGGGGGGGGGAGGGGAAGAGGAAGATCCCCGCCCCACGTGGATGTTGCAGGAAAGAAATGAGAATCGGAGCGAGGACAAAGAGGTAAAGGGGTCGCGGGGTGGGGGGGAGAGGGGAGAAGAGGACCCAGAGACCCCTCCAGCTCCCCAAGCGCCTTCCGTGGGGCCTGGATCCCGGCACGCGTGCTGCGAAGGGGCGGAGATGGGGCGCCCACCCACGAGGACTCCCTGGGGCGCGGAGAAGCGGGCCAGGAAAGGGTTAAGGGGCGCGGGAGGCGCCTGGATAGAGACCCCCCTGTCCCTCCCTTGCTCCTGTCGGGGGGGGGCTGCGAATGGAGAGGTGTGGCGCGCAGGGCGAGGGGTGACCCGAGCCAAGGGGGCCTTTGGGTGCAGGGGAGACTCCGGGAGAGAGGGAGGGGGTCGAGGAATGGGGGGAGGGAGGGGAGCATCCCTGGGTCAGAGAAGGGCAGCGGGGGGGGGGGAGAGATAGGAAGACCAGTCTTTGGGGAGAAGTCTCCATCGTGGCGCCCGCTGGGAATAACCGGAGCGCTGGGGGCTCCGCGCAGAGAGAGGTGGGCCACGAAAGGGTTAACGGACACGAGGGATAGAGACCCCCCTGTCCCTCCCCGGCTCGTCTTGGGGGGCCCCTCCAGCTGGAGAGATGGGGGCACAGGACGTGGGGGGAGTGGTGCCGAGGAAGCCTCCGGATGCAGGGGAGACTCCGGGAGAGAGGGAGGGGGTCGAGGAAGTGGGGGAGGAGGGAAGGCAGCATTGGCAGGGGGGGAGATAGGAAGACCACTCTTGGGGGGGTCTCCATCGTGCCTTCCTTGGGGTCTCTCCGGAGGGGCCGCCTTGGCTTCTCTCTCCCGCCCAGCAATCAACCCCCCCTTCAAGGCGACCAGAGAGGGATCCCTGAAAAGTGGGGGTTCTGTCCCCCCACCCCTATTTTCCTGCAATCTCCATCCTCTTCCCACCCCATAAGCCCCTGCCCTGTCCAGACGCAGCCATCCTGCCCAGTCCAACCTCTGGTCCCCTGGAGAGGAGAGGAAATCCCACGAGGAAGGGGGGAGGGGGGAGGCCTTCTCAGAAGCGGCTCTTGGTTTCCGCAATCCCACCCAGGAAGCAGCCAGAAACCTTTTCCTCTCTCTCAGGCTTCCATCTTTATTGTCTTTTCCACTGCCTGGTTCATTGAGGATGAGGATAATGTACACCTGTCATCAGAAACAGGGGTGCAGAGTCCATGGAATGGCTCTCCGGATTGATCTAGAAGTTGCACCTCGAAAGCATTTCTGTTCCTCTTATTCTTTGTAGGCAGTGTCAGAGTGACTGACAAGCTGAGATACAATCATTCATCATCCGATGACAGCGACTGCCTGAATCTTCCCAGTCAAAGGACCCATTTTCATGATAGACAGTGCCTGTGGCTGGAGGCTCTACACACCGGGTGTGCCTGTGCAGGCCAAAGACTGCCAGTATTAGTACAGGTGAGGTGTGTGTCATTCCCAAATTTACAGACTGTATGTGAATGAGAGTTTGTGGGTGGGATTATAGTTTACGGGAACCCTGTGATTTTCTCCACCCATAACATTTCATAAGCAAATATTGCAGTACGAATTCCAAAATAACTACAAAAAATCACAAGACGATAATAATAGTACAGTGGTACCTCTGGTTAAGAACTGAATTCGTTCTACAGCTCCGTTCTTAATCTGAAACTGTTCTTAACCTGAAGCACCACTTTAGCTAATTGGGCCTGCTGCTGCCACCGCGCCACCGGAACATGATTTCTGTCCTCATCCTGAAGCAAAGTAGTTAACAAAAGGTAGTATTTCTGAGTTATAAGAGTCTGTAACCTGAAGCGCCTGTAACCCGAGGCACCACTCTAGACGTTACAGTACATATAGGTAAAGGTAAAGGGACCCCTGACCATTAGGTCCAGTTGCGGCCAACTCTGGGGTTGCGGCACTCATCACGCTTTATTGGCCGAGGGAGCCGGTGTGCAGCTTCCGGGTCATGTGACCAGCATGACTAAGCTGCTTCTGGCGAACCAGAGCAGCGCACGGAAACGCCGTTTACCTTCCTGCCGGAGCCGTACCTATTTATCTACTTGCTCTTTGATGTGCTTTCGAACTGCTAGGTTGGCAGGAACAGGGACTGAGCAATGGGAGCTCACCCTGTCATTGCAGGGATTTGAACCGCCAACCTTCTGATCGGCAAGTCCTAGGCTCTGGGGTTTAACCCACAACGCCACCCGTGTCCCTACAGAACATATACAAGACAGTAAAACATCCAACATTAAAAACCTCCTGATACAGCTGTCTTCTAAATGTCAGATGGTTGCCTACCTCCTTGCCCTCGGAAGGGAGGGCATTCCATGGGGCAGGAGGCCCTTTGCCTGGTTCCCTGGAACTTCACTTCTAACAGCAAGGGAACCAGCAGAAGACCCTCGGAGGCGGACCTCCCTGTCCGGATGGAGCGATGGGGATGAAGATGCTCCTTCAGGGCCGAGGCTGTTGAGGGCTTTAGGCTGCAGATCTTGCTCCTCCATAATGATCAATGTATAGTTAGCAGAGTAGGAGAAAACACTAAGAGGCAGGGGAAAAAAATCAGCTGAGAAATTTATTACTGAAGACAGATAAGCATGACAGGACCCAAAAAATAGCAAAAATGTAACTCACAGTAAAACCCTGACTTAGCAAACCAAAACAGCACTCAAGTAAGAAACAGACAAGCAGAGTAGAGTAATATCAGAATATGAAGTGGGAGCAGGCGCATTTCAATACTGCAATTCATATATAATTCAATGTCAGAGTAACCCTGGGACTAGATAACAAGCCTCCAGGTGGACGTGCCCCATCTGCCCTTCACTTTCCTCTTCAGCACGGGCAGAATCTGCCTTCTGGACTGTGGGATTCACGGTTGTTCTCCTCCTCTCCATCCACCAGGGCTTGACTTCAGGTGCAGCAGAATTCCCCAGCCCCACAAGGATTTGAGACCCATCAGCTTTCCTCACCTGGTTTAGCCGGCCGGTTGAAGCCGTTGCTTGAACCCCTGTTGCATGCTGACAGCTTCTGGAAGCCACAGGTGAGAGCTGAGTGCAGGGTGGGCACCAAGGGTGGAAAAATGACCCCAGAAGGTGCAGGACATGTTCCCCACCAAAGGAACTACGGCTCCCCAACACCCCATGACATCTAGATTCAGGTAGGTAGCCGTGTTGGTCTGAAACAGTTGAAATAAAAAATTAAAAAATAGTCCAGTAGCACCATAGAGACCAACTATGATTGTTCTAGGTATAAGCTTTGGTGTGCATGCACAATTCTTCAGATACACTGACACAGATGTCACCATACCCTTGTATATCGTGGGAGGGTGGGGTGGGGTTTTTCTCAGAAGGTACTCCTACTACCATCTCCTACTACCCTTCACTATATGAAGAAGTGTGCAAGTACACGAAAGCTTATACCTAGAACAAACTTAGTTGGTCCCTAAGGTGCTACTGGACTATTCTTTTTTACTTCAACTGTGTCAGACCAACACGGCTATCTACGATTAAGTACAGGTATGTCCTGCTTTTCAGTGTCACTTTAGGATAGTCAGAAGACGGGCTCGAGATCAGGCAGCACGTCATCATTATAAAGCACCATTGGGGTGGGTGTTTCCGCCTGGGATTCCCATCTGCCAGCTGCTTTCCTTCTGCTTCTCCTGCTCTCTCCATGCAATGTGAGGCATGTAGACACAGGTCCATCTCCAAGAACAGGAGCTTCCCTGAGCACCCATTCAGCTGACCCCAAGCACCAAGCCTTGCCACTAGTTCTCTGACTGACCCAGACCACAGTCCCTGGAAAGGATGTAGACCTGG